AACGATTTTCGAAGTACTATTCCGTTTCACCTCACATGTAAATTATTGCCCAATCGGACCTTATAGGCTGTGCTTGACAATATGCGTATTCAGAGACTATGCCTGAAAGCATACCGGTATACGAAAATGCAACAGGCAGCGCTACTTAAGCTGCAGGATGGCGAAGTGGAGTTCTTGAAAGCACAGTCCAAAAAAATCATAGAAAAATTAGGAAAAAAACTTTAAACTATAGTTGTAAGGACCAAACGAGGAACAGTTATTTTAGCGAAAAACTGAGCCTGAGGAGCAAGATTGGGAACCATCTACGGTTAGGTGTATATGGTCATTGGACTAGCAAATTGTTTCAATAAAATGAAATTTGTGAAAAGCATGTATCGTGCACAAGTAGGCCCGGCTCAACATGTTGGTGTGGAGTTACTTAAGGAGATGAACGTCGTCAAGTACAGTACTAACATGGCACATTACGGCGCATGCCTTAGCTCAGTTTTAATGGGAAAATTTTCTACTTGGAACTGAATCTTATGGCGACGCAAAGTCAGCCATTATTATGTTTTCTTTTTGTTCGTTCATTGACGTTTACACATAAATGGGCATGGCAGATGCTAGCAAGCAAAAAAAACTGATTTCCGCCGTATGTCATATAATTATTTACGCATAAAAGGTCACTACCGCATCAAACACCGAGTATTTAAATTTAAACAGCACAGCACGTTAAGGACATATGACTATTTTACCTCGTATTGGCGCTCACATATTTCTAGTTGTTTCCATAAAGCTATAATATCTGCAATCAGCATTCCCTCCTTTGGTAAATAGGCAGGACGATTATTAAGGCGCAGACGAGTTTGGAGTGTTCTGAAGGTTGTTTCAAGACGAGCTTTCTCCTCAATCTTTAAGGGCTTTTCTTCAGCACGATACTGTCTGAGGGCCTGGAGCTTAGCTTCGGCCTCAGTTATTGATTCATTCGGTTCACGTTTCTAGGAGGAAAAACAAAAACGGACTCATGAGGGAGCCAAAGAGTTATGAACAGAAACAATACAGAAATGAAACCCTTATAGACAGAAAGACATCACTGACAAAGATGAGGGAGACTGGAGTGAGCCCTGAGGCACAACGGGACGGGTGTGCTCTGTAACGTTATCAGTAAGCGTTCCACCACCACAACGAAGCCCTTATTAGAAACTCTATTCTACGGAAGTTTGACCATTTTATTCTTTTCATATGTCATTAGGCGGCGTTTACTGGGCGCCAAGCTGAGTTTAATTAAGGCACTTTTTGTTGATGGTATAACCCCCGAAGATCACGCATACCAAGAAATTTTACTTCAAAATGTATAATCTATATAGAAGGCCTTCACGCCCACAGTTTGTCTGCACCTGTTGTAGATAATTGCCAAACGCCTGATCAAGTGTACTTTTTCCTAATGAGCTTGAAGATAACAGATATAACCAACTTTTGCAACTGAAGTCGTCTGGACACTTCGTTAGACAGAAGGATAAGTAGTTTAACTAGACATTGAGTGGCTTCCCGCAGATAACCGTAAGCAACAAGTCTGTGAAGAATATCTGTTCTCCTCACGTATTAGCAATATTGAGAGTGTCAAGTTTTACGCGCACCAGACAGAGGCTTGTTGTGCATAGTCCGAAGTTAACTATCTATAAATTAAATAGCATGCGACTTTCAGTTGTCCGACACAGTGGTGTTACCAAAATTAAATCTCCAAATGTTCTCAAAAGGGGCAGAGAAATAATAAAGAAAGAGGTGAAGAATCTGGGTCAAAAAGTGTTGCCACTAATAAATAAGGACCATCAAAATAGCACGCTTACGTACTTCAAAATCAACTTTTTTTTCTTTTATCCAGTCTGCTAGGTTGCTGAAGATTGTGTCATACTCCTCACATAATTGGTCGCTCATCTGAGAAACCTCGAGTGCTTTGCATACCCTGGAGGTTGCCACATTTGCCTGGATGTTTGGTAAAAAAAAATAATAATAAATGGAAATATTTAGTTAAGTATTCGAATTTGGAGAAAGCAGTATTGATAATGTCAAGTGGTTATTTTTATGGGTGGTATTCGAGTGATGTAATCTTCAAATGTACGTTGATAAACATGAAGGAATCTAGCATTTTTTTTCTGAATAATTATATTAGAAATGGAAAGCAGAAAACAACATTATCTTGCTGTGAAGGGCATAATTGGAGTGACATATATGGCAAAATTAATAGCTTTGGATCAATTCAAAAGTCACAGAGTGAAGCGAATTTTAAAATGCAATTAAAGAAAATCCCGGTCGACCGAGTCCACAACTACCTGGGTATCGGAGCTGAATTTATTAGACCTAACACAGCAAGGTCAGGTACGACTCTTCGTTTATTCTGACAGTCACGTGAAAAGCTGATTATCTCTACCTGGCTGTATATATTAATAAAATAGCATCTACACCTGAACTTGTACGAAAGACGATGAACAATAACTTGAACTTCACAATCTGAGGTTTAAGGACGGTTGATTAACGGATGAGGTATCAGACAATTATGTGAAACAGAATATAGGTAATTGATTAAGTAAGCTTACTTTAAGGGTCCCAGCAAACGAATGATAGTAGCAAGAGACATAAGCCATGACCGAGCGGTCATCAGGCTTGACGGAATTAACCATATCTAGAAGTATGTACAATTGTTTGAAAGTGTACCTTCAGGATCCAACATTTTTGGGATGCCCAGCTGTTCTTCTGCAACCGTAAATGCTTTGTTTAAATTTTCAAGGGGTTCTCCTGGTTTCAGAGAATTAAAGTCCAACAGGTCAGGATGATAACGATGTATAAGCGCACAGAATGCGAGACCATCTTTGAAGCTGCGAAATGAAAGTAAGTGAAATGTGTACCTTGTATTGAAGTTAGTAACATTGACATTAGCGTATCCTTTTGTGGACCGCTGACACCAGAGCAGGAGGCCTTCGTTCGCAGAAAATGCTGAAGAAAGCTTATTAAGGGAAATCTCTCTTACAGCCTTCTTGAATATCCTGGATAGCAAACCGCAAGATGATAGTCCATATCATGCCAAGTGTCATCTTTACATTACCATCCACAATTTCTACAAACAATTAAACGAAATTAAACCAAAACCTTCGGCGCCTATCGAGACCAACTTAACACCTTTGCTTTTTATAAAGTCAAGAGCCTTGTTCACATTCGAAATTTGATGAACGCGCATCTTTCCTCTCTCTGGTTTCGGCAGCTTTTCGTCAGATATAACTTCTAACAGTAGCAAGAGCTTGAGCCCATTGCGGAAATCGTTTTCGATGCTCTCAATTTCGGCATTTACTTTTTTGAGATGGAGATTGCACCACGCTGTGAAAGTCTACGACAGATTAGGTGTAAATAACCAAACCTTCTTTTGTTGTTTCTCCCAGATAGGGTCAATTGCAGTGTCCCGTACTTCTGTACGGTCATCGTCATCATCATTAACATAGCCTTCAAAGTCGTAGATAGACTTTTTGCCGGTGGTATCCGAGGGAGTCTGCACACAGTCCATCGCACAAAAAATGATCAACCCGCTATGCAAAACGGATGATTAAAACACCAGACTTAATTTTATCCAAAAGTCTAAAGGTCGGAGACCAAATTCCTAAATTTTTAAATGCATAGTTTATCCCATGAATTGCAGTGTTTATGACTTTCTACATGTGCAAAACTTCTCGATGGGAAGAACGTTTCATACTGTTACTGATTAGCGGCAGTGGTTCGCATTTTACCCAAAATCTTCGTAGATAGGGCTGCCTGTTCCCCAACTCTCCAGCGTATTTGTGTGGCCTTCGCGGAAATGCAATTTGCATAGAGTGATAATGCTAACTTTTTTGTATAACGTAGTCTCTGA